TGGAGTTGGGGATGGTAATGGAATTGAGAGGCAGAGGAGGACCAAGGCTGGTTGGGTGGAGGTGGTGGTCTTTGGTAGGGGTCAGCCGTAGACGGCGGCGGATGAGGTGGCGGTGGCCTCGTGTAGGGGCGGGGCAGCTGGTAGTCCATGGGTTTAGGGTTTATTTGTGGTGAATTACAATTATTTTTCTGCGCGCAGGCGCATATGCATCTGTGTATAAGAGGAGAGAGATGGAATGACTATGGTGGTATCGGGCGGGCATTTTTCAGAAATACGGTCCGAAGATATTATTAAATAATCCAATCAAACAATATTTTTAAGGGAAAATTGGAGCAATGCTTCCTAACCTTTCACATTATTGCACACATTATCTTAACTTTCATTTTGTGCCATCCACAATTCAAAATCATTCAAAAATATGCACATGAGGTCCAAATGGATGGAAATCGTCTATTTGACAGTTAGTTGACCAAAAATCAAGGAATTTTTGACCAATTTTAAAAGGTTAAAATGGTAAATATATATTTTATATAATAAAACAATTTAAAATAAAATAATTAAATCAAAAAGTTAAAAACTAATACTATAATCTTCCCCACCCCACCCCAACCTCAAAACGAAACCCAAGTAAGGTCTTCGCCATCGCCAGCCATAGCCCCCACCATCGACCAGCCAACAACACAACTGATCGGCCAAAAAAGGCTTGCCTCCTTCAGTTGCCCCTTCAAAAACAAGAGTCACAATCGATCGATCAAAGCACAGAAAATCGAAACCAAAAGACTCCATTGCACCATCCCTCCACAAAAAACTATCACAATCAACCAGCCAAAACACAGAAAATCGAAACCAAAAAACTCCATTGCACCATCCCTCCAAAAAATACAGTCACAATCGACCGGCCAAAACACAGAAAATCGAAACCAAAAAACTACATTGCACTGTAAATCGAAAGCATTAATTTAGAACATACTATTGAAATTAGGGCATACTACTGGATTTACTCAAATCCCATATGAAGATGTTATGCCATCACCGTTGCGAGTTTTTTTTTTTCAGCCTAGCAAATTTTTTCTTTAAGCAGTCGCAAGTTTTTTCTTCTTCAGCTCCGCCGCAAGGTTTTGTTCGCGATGGCGATAGCAGTCGGTGTCTTGGGTTTGGTTTTAAGGTAGGGTGGGGAAGATGACACTTTGAATAGGGTTTTAGTTTTTAATTTTTTGATTTATTATTTTATTTTATTTTAATTGTTTTATTATATAAAATATAAATTTACTATTTTAACCTTTTAAAATTGGTCAAAATTCAGTTAACCCTTTGACTTTTTGTCAACTAATGGTCAAATAGACGGTTGCCATCCATTTGGACCTTAAGTGCATATTTTTGAAAGGTTTGGAACTGTGGGTGACATAAAATGAAGGTTAAGGTAAAGTCTGTAAAAATTTGAAAGTTAGGGACCGCTACTGCAATTTTTCCTATTTTTTATAAAAGAACCTCGTTTCAATATCAATTGGTCTAATGACCTCCTGTTATAAAACACATTAAATAAATAATATCAAATATTCAAAACATCTTTTTTATTTTAATAATTATGGGTATCCGGACCAACTTATGCTCACCATGACTAATCACACATGTCTTGAAATTTACAGTCAGGTACTCACTTTAATGACCCTAAGAGGACTCGAACTGGTGACTATTGGAGAGCAAACCTAAAGTCTGACCACCGAACTATCCTTTAGAGTTAAATATTCAAAACATTGTCACCAAGGAAAAACCCAAATACTCTTTCAATCCAATCAAATTCCTGAATTCATCTCCAAAATACATCGACGTGCTCTCCCTATGATTGTTATCCTAAAATCTTGTTAATCATTATATTCTTTACCTATCTTCTCCAATATTTTGAGCATTTTGATCAAGAATTTTGATTTCTATATTATTTACATTGATTTCATTAAGTTCGCTAACGCGCCCTTTCTTCAGCTGGCTTCACCCTATCTATTCATGGAAATTTTTACTTTATTTGAAGAAAAAAATAAATGTATTTTTAGAAATCTTATATACATTGGTACTTTAATTATTGAATATAGTATGAAATGATATTTTAGTTGATTTTATTTTCACTTTTGGTATATTTTTGTGCAGTTCACAATTATTGGATGATAACGGCACCCCAATCTTTATCTATAGTGTAGAACAATACTACAACTGTGACCTTCCATTTAAAATGACAGTACAATCGTTATCTATTGTGGTCTATCCGTTATTGATAATAAAATGTGGTTACTTTAATAATTTAAATATGATAACTATTTTTATATTAGTTTGATATATACTTGAGTAAATTTTTTTATTTTATTTGCAGCTATGAATTCTGTAGAAACAATATGGTTACAAGTACTCTATTTTGTTGAGTTTAAAAAAACTGAAGAAGGCAAATGGACATGGAGTTACGTAGCAAATGATGAAGAAAATTTGAATATTCTTTATGTTTCAACTAGCATTTCATATATAGAGTTGTACAACAAAGTGCATGAACTTGTTAATGTAGATTCAAAGTTATACAAAATTGAGATGATGCCTCTGGAATGTCTTAAGTTTTTAGTTTCATCACAAATGATTGACTATGACATGAAAGTGAAGTGGTTTATTTCTATCTATAAAAAACATCCAGTTGCATGACTATTTCGACCTACATTGCAGATAAGTGTGATAGTGTAAAAGAGTTTGAAAGAGATTGTGAAATAGAAACTAATGATTTAGTAGAAAGAGGACACGTGAGCAATCGAAATAAAGTTGTGAAATATGATGGTGATTATAGGAATTATAACATAGAAGGAAACTCTGTGAATTGGGATAACTAGCACATAATTCAAGGTAGTTCCCAAAAATAAAATTTCAAAGATAAATCTCCCCAAAGAGATGAAAACAATATCGATTCCTCTATGCAAGAAGGCATTATTGGTATTTCAACACAAGTTGTGAGTTCAATTCCTTATGGATTATCAGTTAAGATCCCCAAAAAGAGGATGTACATGACTAGGGACTATTTTTAACTGAAAGTGCTTAGATATCAAAACTCCAGCTATTTGCTATGAAGTATCCCAAAAATAAAATTTCAAAGATAAATCTCCCCAAAGAGATGAAAACAATATCGATTCCTCTATGCAAGAAGGCATTATTGGTATTTCAACACAAGTTGTGAGTTCAATTCCTTATGGATTATCAGTTAAGATCCCCAAAAAGAGGATGTACATGACTAGGGACTATTTTTAACTGAAAGTGCTTAGATATCAAAACTCCAGCTATTTGCTATGAAGTACCGATTTGAATTTAAAGTAAAGAAATCAAATAAGAGTATGTAAACAGTCGTTTGTGTTGGAGAAAGTTGCAACTGGCATTTAAGGGGAATGAGCATAGCTAAATATGACGAAAATATTCTGGCCATCACACTTGCTCTATGAGTTTTTATCGCAGGAATAATAGACATGCTACCTATTCGGCAATTGGAAAGCATGTAGCTCCAGAGTATCATGATGCCAACATAGTGTACAGACCAAGACACATCACCAATGACATTTGTTGGTAAAATATCACAAGGCATTTATATGGCCAAAGAATTTGCTTACAAAAAGGTTCGAGGTAGCCCTGATGATAGTTATGTGAAGTTACCGACGTTTTGGAGATACTCAATCTTGGCACATTGAATTTTATTGAAATTGATAATGATGGACATTTTATGTATTTTTTTTATAACATTAGATCAAGCATACATGGATTTATCTCTTCAGTTCGACAAGTAATCTGTGTGGATGTAATATTTTTGAAATCTAATTATCAAGGTACATTACTTGTTGCCACATGGCAAGATGCAAATCATCAAATTTATCCACTTGCTTGGGGTATAGTAAATTCAGAGAACAATAATTCATAGACTTGGTCTTTCAGAAATTGTGACAAATAACCAAAGACACAAACGAGCTAGTATTTATATCTAACCGTGCAGCAAGTATATCAAATGGTTTTAGCAATATCTATCTTAATGCACATCATGGGCATTGTATATAGCATTTACAAACTAACTTGAAGAGCAAATTTCCCGCATTAATATTGTGCCGCTGTTTAGAGCTACCACAAAGGCATATAGTTTGGGAAAATTTGATATCAATATAGAAGCACTATGCAGTCTACACTAGAAAATTCGAGGGTACTTAGGGGATAATTTTGGTGTAGAGTATTGGTCAAGAGCACATTTCAATAGAATTAGATACAATAATATGACCACAAATAATGTAGAACATTGAACGCATTGTTGAAAAGTTCTCGAAAATTTTCTGTACTTGCTTTGATCGAGCATATCAGAGAGAATATATAGAGATGATTTCATGATAGACATGTTGATGTTGAAATTTGTACCTGCTACCTCACCCCACCTTGGAAAAGAAGATATACAATAGGTATAACAAGTCAAAAGGCAAGCTCTTAGCCCTGTTGAAATGCGAGTGATGAAATGGAAAGCTTCATTGTTAATTAGGAGAGAGAGACATGTACATGCAATGAATTTAATCCAGACCAATTTTCATGTGCACATGCAATTGCTATAATAAGGGGCGTTAGAGATAACTGTTACAGGATTTGCTTTCTATTTTATAGCATATCTTACTGAAAATGAGCTTATTCTGAAAATATATATCCACTGCTAAATGAGATGAACAAGGAAATTCTCGTTAATGTCCAATCAAGAAATGTGATATGACTGTTGACACGAAGAAAGTAGACGTCCACAAAAAAAGGAAACAATCAGTCGGAGAGGTGCGCAAGTCTCGTAAGTGTAGTAGGTATTTAAAAACTTGGCATAACCACATCACTTGTACAGATCGTGTACCACTTAGTGAGAGACATGAACAATGAAGACAAAATAGCACATCTGCTGATTTTTGTGTTTTATGATGTGCTGCTTTTGTAATATTGAAAAAAGAATGAGGAGTTATGATGTACTGCTTCTATCATTTTGAAATGCAAATTACTTATAATATTTGGAACGATTGATTCCATCATTGTCTTAGAATCGATAAAGCCATAATGACGATTATACTTTTTTTGTTAGAATAAAATATCATTGGCGTTGTTTTGAGTATTTTATCTAAAAAATATAGAAATTTTGTTCCAAAATTAAATATTATTGGCTTAATGGCAATTAATTTCAAAATATAAACGGTATCAATTATGCATATCGTGTTTACATACGTAACGATACTTGTGTCGTTTTCATAACAGTAACGACACTTTTACTATTCTCTTTTTTCATGTTGATTAAATAATGAGCATTTCTCTCAAATTTTGTAAACAGTATGTCCATCTTACAATTTAAATGAGTTCAACTTGTCGGTTACGGGGCTTGGATGGATCTTGGCTATTTATGCTCATGTTTATAGACTTCTACAGTACTCGTTTTGTTTAACAGCACTTGTGTCGTTTTGTTAATTTCTATTGATTTTTCCAATATTTTACTTATTTTATACCACAATGACCTCAAGCATTGGACCACTTAAGTTAAAAACAAAAAAAAAATTTGGTTGTGACAAATATCGGTAGAATTGATATAAATTATATGATATCGAGTTTGTGACATCACAAGTCATTATCAACATTTGTCAGAAAATATAATTAATGAGCACATATCTCAAATTTTGTAAACGGCATGTCCATCTTGTAACTTAAATGAGTTCAACTTATCGATTATTAAGGCTCGGATGGGTCATGGCTGCTTATACTATTTTTTATATATACAAAACTATGCAAGTGATATTAACGACACTTGTGATATCTCTAACATTTTGCTTCTTTTCCACTACAAAGACAACAAGCTTTAGACTTAAGTCAGAAATGTTGATTATGTGACATCAGTAGAATTGACATAGATTATATGATATCGAATGAGTAAAATCATCAGTCATGATCTACATTCATTAAATAAAAAATAATGAGCATATCTCTCAAAATTTGTAAATGACATGTCCACCTTGTAATATAAATGAGTTCAACTTATCAAATATCGAGGTTCGAAAGGTTCGTGGCTACTTATACTCGTATTTATAGATAGAACGGCACACACAACGTTTAACAACACTTATGACGTTGTGTTTATTTTTCCAATAGTTTGCTTCTTTTCCATCGAAACAACATTAAGCATTGGACCGCATAATTTGAGAAAGTCAGGAATGTTGATTATATGACAAATAACGATAGAATTGACATAAGTTATATGATATCAAGTTTGTGAAATCACAAATTATTATCTACATTCATTAGAGGATATAATTAATGAGCTATCTCTCAAATTTTGTAAACAACATGTCCATTTTGCGACTTAAATGAGTTCAGCTTATCGATTATCGGGACTTTAGACAGGTATTGGCACCCGTACTCTTATTTAAAGATAAACATCACTTGTGTCATTCTATTAATTTTTTCAATATTTTGCTCTCTTTTTTTCCACCGCAATGATTGCAAGTATTAGATTCCTGAACTTCTCTTGTGCCATTTTAAAAGAACAAGTTTGTGTATTGTTATAATGTCACTTGTGCTGTTTTCTTATATCTTTTTAATATCAATCACAGCACAACTGTCGTTCTAAAAGATGTTCTCATCTTAGTAACGGCACAAGCATTGTTCTCTACACAGTAATGACACTTGTGCTATTCTTATGAATAAGTTTATGTATTGTCATAACGTCACTTTTTCCATTCTCTTAAATCTTTTCAATATCAGTAATAATACAAATGTCATTCTTATAGACTTATATTTACAAACATAATGACAGTTATACCATTCTAATAGATGCTCTCATCTAAATAATGGTACAAGCGTTGTTCTCTACACTGCAGTGACACTTGTGTTGTTCTCAAAAATAAATTTGTTTATCATTTAACGTAATTGTACCGTTCTCTTAGATCATTTCATAACTTAGTAACGGCACATGTGTCATTCTCATAAACTTATATTTACTAGCATAATGATAGTTATTCATTTCTAATAGATGATATCATCTCAGTAATGGCACAAACGTCATTCTTATGAACAAAACTTTATAAACATAACGATAGTTATATCGTTTTAATGGAAATGGGCATTAAAACTGTAACTACAATCAATGTTTAACTTAAAGCAAATATGTGCAATTGTAAAATCAATCTCCAAGATAATAATACGAAAAATAGCTTCAAAAAATTCACCAAATCTACGAATCAAAGTGCTATGCAAATATTTATGTGACTATTTTCTCCCTTGAATAGACATATACTCCGGACAAATCAAATTCATATTCAACTAAGCTTACAAAACTCTATGTACTTCACTGTGAATAGCCCATAATCAGATCTACA